TTTGAAATTATTAAGGCCACAAAACATACAGAAGAATGTTTTAAGTCTTTCTGATATGCAATGTTAAAGTGACTTAGTATTTACTCACTTCATGTTCTGAAACATCATTTTAAAGCATTGGAAAGCATGTTACCCTAAAAGATGGCTCTTTTGGAATTCTTCTGGTATTAAGTTCTCCTCACTATTCCACATACATGGACATCAAGATGCACCAAGAAGTTATCTGCCTTCAACTCACAAAGAGACTCAGGTAAAAAAATTCTACAAAGCCTTACTGCTTCAAGGATTCCCACCTTCAGATTGTTGATGCTAAAGAATGACTCCTGTTCTTATATGCAGCCAGACCTGCTTCTTGTTTTCCACATCAGTTAAATTAGCAAGAGCACCTGGCTACTTAGCTCATGTACTAAGCATAGGTTTTAGAAAAACAAGCTTAAGCAGTAGATGACCTACAAGTTGCACTTACAGTAGTAAATGTGGGATAATACATTTCTTTTGAACTTTCAACTTGGAATACATTGGCTGCATTTACAATTTTAGGAAAGAATTGAGTATGAAATTATGATTTAAAAAACAAAAACTGTATATTAGACACTGTTTCAATAAGCCAATAGAAAGAAGAGTGAACAAGTAAACAAGACACTTAGGATTGTTTTTTTTTTTAACCCCTTAAAATTCTTGGTGAGTTTTCTAGGGGAGCAACAGAAAAGGACTGTAGACAAAACACTCTCCCTCTGAGTTGAAACTGTATCTTCACTAGTTCTATGAAATAAGCATCTTTGAGCTGGCTATCAGTGTGATAGGGAATGCTAGCCATCTATGTGTTTTGAATTAGATGTTTGGCTTTCCAAAAGCAGAAATGGAGGGAAAATATTCCAGTGGTACCTAATATCTAGTTGAACAGCAGTGGCCAGACATTTTCAATAAAAAGGCCTCATGGTGAAATGCTTTATTTATGGTTTGCAGGTCATCCAGTCTCTGGTAGACTATTGAACCCTTAGCAGCATGAAAAGCCTCCATGGGCAAGTAACAGATGTATTTTAAAAACCTTCTGTACGGAAGACTGGGTTTAGCATGGGGCTGAATTGACAGTAAGTAAGCTCTATAAAAGCAACCATCTTCTCTGTTCTCATCTACTACACACAGAGCATGCCCAGAACAGAGCTGTTAAACAGCAGACAAGCAATGAAGACTTACAGAATGAGTTATTTTTAAAGGTAATTCAAAAGCAATATACATTTATTAAATCTCTATTCAATTTAATTTTTATTTCTACAAAACAATAGTCACTATAGAAGTAGTTACTATATCGTCAGACTCCAAGAACACATCAGAACAATTATCCACCATGATCAAGTAG